AAAAAAAAAAAAAAAAAAAAAAGGGCTGTGTCTGCAGCGACCTTGCCATGATCTAAAGTGTTTTGTTTACAGTCAGGCACCCCCGATGGCTGCAGCAAATCGGGACAGCGGCAGGCGCCCGCCCGTAGTAGCAGTGAAGCGTGGAGGGGGAAAAAAAAAAAAAATACAGGAAAAAAATATACTGAAAATTGCCGGAGTAAAGCTGGGGAAAGATCAGAGCGCCATCGTCTTGCGGAAGAGCGGCACAACAGCAGCGGGGAGGAGGCGCGGGTGGGGCCGGGGGCGATGCTCAGCCTCCCCCGCTCGCCGCAGCCTCCGCGGCCGCCTCTGCCCCGCCGGGACCGCTCCTGCGGGGATGCGGCCGGGCAAGGAGCCCAGAGAGGGTTAGAGAGGGAGAGGAACCGCGAACAGCAACACAAAACCCCAAACAAAACTTGGAGCGGCGAAGCGGGGAGGAGGGAGGAGTGCTTGTGGGGAGGTCTGGGCGCAGAATGTCCTGGCTGCCGTGCCAGGCTCTGAACGCCCTGTCTCCTGTTTTTTTTTTTTTCCTCTCCCCTCTCCACTTCTCCTGTTTGGGCTTTTCCGCTGGCAGAGCTGCTCGCTGTTTTTCTTTCCTCCAGGATGSCTCGGGCAAGCTTCCCGCCTTCCTTTTGGCCACCCTCCTTGCCCAGCACTTTATAAGGCTGTCCGGTGAGCCGGCCATGCCCATCCGACCCGCGCACAGAAAGCGTCTGGCTTCCCCGGGATTTTATATATTCCCTTCCCAACGGGGGGGAAATGGAGAATGAGACCTGAGCTCCTCCAGGGGATGAGTCTGGCAGAGCTGAGCATGAAGAAGGCAGGGCCATGGCACGACCCGTTTGGGGTTTGAGGAGGTTTGCTCCTCGCCCACCGCAGCAGTTGCTTCCCCACCTTTCCACCTTTCTCGTGCTGATTCCTGCTGTGATTTTGGAAGTGCAGACCCCAAATATTCACCCTATAACACTCCCTTAGCAAGAGCTCTTCGCTTCTGGGCGGGATGAGGGTCAGCAGCAGGGACTGCCAGGAAGGAGAGAGCAGTTTTTGGGATATAAATCCAGCAGTGCGAGAAGTGTGAGATATAAATCAGGGGGGGGCGAAGAGATGCCACCTTCCCCTGCCAGGGGCCATGGAGACCTTCCGCTCGTTCTCTGTAAACTCTAGAGGGAGCTTAAGGACAGAGATGAGGACAGACCAGGAGCTGG